ACAGCCCTAAACCCTGCTCTATCCTGTGCCAATCTCACCGTGTCTGACACACTTACCCTGATTACTCCAGTAACTGAATCAATCCACCTCATAGAGGGTCTTCCACTCCTGCACTGTCCCTCCACCCTCCCAAGCATGACGTCCCTCTCCAAGGACTGGTACCTCCTTGCAACATGTCAGATGAAGCCTCAGAAGCCTTGTCTCCAAGGAGCAGCCTGGTTTAACCCTCTCCAGAACAAACCTGTTTGTTCTCCTAGCAGTTCCTGGTATATTCAATACTCTTCTCCAGCACCCCCACTCAAAGGCATCAATTCTCCTTCTGTCCTCCCTGGTCATTGTCTAGTTCTCTTTGTTTCCATTCCAAAGAAAGGTGACCCAACAGAGTGTGGAAATTATTGAACAATATCATTGATATCACATACAAGCAGGATTCTGCTTAAGATTATAAAAAAAAAAGACTGGAACAGCACATCAATAGAGAATTGCCAGAAGTCCAGACTGGGTTTAGAAGGGGTCATGGTACAAGGGATATTGTAGTTAATGTTAGATGGATCTTGGCTGAAAGCAGGGAATACCAGAGGAATGTCTTTCTGTGTTTCATTGATTATGCAAATATGTTTGACTGCGTGGATCACAACAAACTGTGGATGACTCTGAGAAGAATGGGAATCCCAGAACACTTGATCAAACTAATGTAAAACCTATACTTGGACCAGGAGGCAGTTATCAGAACAGAGCAAGGAAACACTGTATAGTTCAAAACTGGGAAGGATGTCCACCAGGGATATATCCTATCTCCATACCTTTTCAACCAATATATGCAGAACAGATTATTTGGGAGGCTGGGCTGTATGAGGAAAAGTGTGGCATCAGGATTGGTGGAAGATTCATCAACAATCTGCATCATGCAGATGACACAACCCTGATTGCTGAAACTGAGGAGGACCTGAAGTGCTTGCTGCCCAAGGTCAAGGACTGCAGCCTTCAGTGTGGATTGAGGTCCAATATCAAGACGACAAAGATTCTCATCACTGGGCCAATTGGCAGCATCTGGATGAATGGTGAAGAAGAGATTGAGATTGCTCACAGCTTTAGTTTGCTTGGCTCTATAGTCACCTCTCTTGGCACCAGCAGCTAGGAAATGAAAAGATGTATTGCGATGGGAAAGTCTGCTATTAGGGACCTCTCCAAAGTACTGAAGAGCAATGCTGTCACTCTGGAAACTAAGGTGCCTGATACACGCCATGGTCTTTGCAATCATATACAAAATAGAGATGATAAAATATTACCCCATGACAAGAGCATTGTGAGAAGAAAGTGAATTAGTAAACACAAGGCACTTAAGAAGTTCTTGGCATGTTGTAAGGTCTATTGAATGTTTAGCTGTTATGATTAAGTAAAAAGTACAGCTCATAATAAAAATTTAAGAGAAACCTTAAACAGATGATTTTGGGTACTAACACAGCAGATTGCTTAGTGGAAGATAGAGATGCAGAAGTTAGAGTTCCAAAGCAGTCTGTTGATGGCGATAAAGCATGCATGACAAAGTTCTGTAGAACATTTTAAGTTGTAATGAGGTTGTCCATGCATTTCAGGAAAAACGAATACAAACACACCTTTGGGATAAGAAACAATTGTGAAATGGTCATTTAGGGAATAATAATAATAAGCAAATTGCAAAGTTAGAAATGGCCTATCATTATCAAGAAGGACTGTTCTAAGACTATTACATGTGTGAAATGGGCAAGATATTGCTGGAGTTTAAGTGGAGACATTCATGGTAATGTTCGCATTGAATGAAAATCACGGAAGTCTTCCTTCTGTGCTCAGAGAGGAACTTTGGAGTGACTAAGGCTCTGTGGTGGGAATGAACAGGATGGTTATAGTATGAAGAACATTGTGTGGAAAAGGAGTGAGTGGAAGTTTAATGTGAAAGAGGATAGTTGGTGATGTGGCCTGAGAAGGACCCCCCCCGCCACCGCCACTAAGCCAGCCTGCTCTATGTATCAGCTACATTTTTATGATGTCCTAAAGAATAGCAACAAAACTGAAACTCGCTATCATGGACTTGATCGCAACTGTTCATGTAGGAAAGGTTGAAAAATCTATGGAGTGTCTAAGACTATATTTTTATGAGAACACACTATCCTGTCTTTCCATAGAACTGAGGGTCAGTTTGATTTGTCTAACATTTGGCTAGCAGTCAATTTCTTTAACCATTGTATTATCAGTGCTACTGTGAAATTCTAGATGACTGCAAACATAATAATGGTTCAAACATTTGCAAGTTAATATTTTAACTCTAGACTAAATAATCATCCTAGGTAGTTGTTGTTAGGTGCTATTGAGTTGAGTCTGACTCAGTGGCCCTATGAATAACATATTTGAACCTTGTCCTAGCCAGTGCCATCCTCACCATCTCTGACACATTTAAGGCCATTGCTGCAGTCACTGTGTCAGTCCATCTCATTGAGGGCCTTCCTCTCTTTAGCTGAATCTCCACCTTTCCTATAATGTTGTTTCTTTCCAAGGGATAACCTCTCCTTGTAACATCCCCAAAGAATGTGACACAAAGCTTTTGCAACTTTAATAGGTTGTTTAATAGGTTGTTTACAGCATCTTCAAGCAGAACAAGCAGAGTGGTTTACCAAGAGTTGTCCAAAACCAAGTTCTTTAGCTCAATATATCTCAGTGGAGTGGTGGCAGTTCTTGAAGGTAAGTTTAATTCTTCTCTGAGTATTTCAGTCGTTCTCACATAAACTTAATTATGGAAATAGCAAGATAGGTAGAGCACTCTGACCTGAGTAAAGTGAAGACTGGAATACTTGATTAAAGAAGTATGAGTACAGAGGACTTCTGGGGAAGGGAGAATTACCAGTGGGAAGATGAAGGTCCTAGATCTTTAGATCAGACCTCAGGAAGTAGGTGTCTAGGGAGGCTAATGAGTCCAAGACTTCAGAAGACAGGTATAGTCTCAACCTGCTGGCTTTAGAGAACACTGACTTCAGAGGCAGATGAATCTAAAGACCACACCACTGAGCAGGGTCACAGGTGCTGACTTCGAAGATTGACTAGGAAATTTTAACAAGCCACTGGCTAAAGTCATATGGAGGTTACAAGCTAGATGGCTAGATTTAGGATCAGACAAACATCTCCCTAGTTTTGTCAAAGAGTCCAAACATACATTCAATACAGACCATACCTTTGAGAAGACTTCATCATCCTGCCTTATTAATATTAGTTGTTGTTATTGTTATGTACCATTGAGTTAGAACTGGCCCATAGCTGACTACTCTCCAGTGGGTTTCAGAGGCAATAAATTGCACAGGAGATTGCTCATCTTTCTTCAGTGGAGCAATTTGTGGATTTGAACTATGTAACTTTGGGTTGATAGTATAGCTCCTTACTACTAGGTCACCAGAGCTCCCTTATTTTCATTACAGGAGTTAAAAATTTGTGACATAAGGATTGTTACATTATACTGCAGTTCATGACTACACTGACATATTAACTATTACTTCATAAGGGAAACAAAGGCTTCTAGAATGAAAGTATATGACAAAGATTCCTCAACTTGTGAGCTATCAAACTGCAATGAGATAAGAAAAATCTAGGCTATGAACTCAAATAGTTCCTTATCAAAGAACCCTGGACTGACTGTCTGAGAGCCTGATTCTCAATCTCAGAATATATGTGATCTGTGTAATAAAGATTTCTCTTAGTTTTATAATCTCTACACTGTCCATTAACACACAATGCTAAGTGGAACACTCTTGGCACCAGCAGCCAGGAAATAAAAAAAAAGTATTGCGATGGGAAAGTCTGCTGTTAGGGACCTCTCTAAAGTACTCAAGAGCAACGGTGTCTCTCTGCAGACTAAGGTGCGCCTGATACAGGCCATGGTCTTTGCAATCACTTGTTATGCATCAGAGAGTTGGACAATGACTAGGGAGGATAGAAGGAGAATTGACGCCTTTGAGCTATGGTGCCGGAGAAGAGTATTGAATGTACCATGGACGCCAAGAAAACAAACAGATCCGTCCTAGAGAGGGTTAAACCAGGCTACTCCTTGGAGGCAAAGATTCTGGGGCTTCGTCTGACATACTTTGGACATGTTGTAAGGAGAGACAGGTCCTTGGAGAAGGACATCATGCTTGGTAGGGTAGAGGGACAGCACAGGAGGGGAAGACCCTCTATGAGGTGGATTGATTCAGTGACTGGGATAATCAGGATGGGTGTGTCAGAGGCAATGCGACTGGCACAGGACAGAGCAGGTTTTAGGGCTGTTGTACATAGGGTCGCTATGAGTTGCAAACGACACGATGGCACATAGCAACAACAAGAACAACAACAACAACAACAACAACAAGTGGATATATATATTGTCTAAATGAGTGATTGAATAATGTATGTGTTTTCAAATATTTTTAAGGACTGATGTAAGTTTTAAACTGCTCCTAGGAGGTAAGGATTTTTACATACTTTGGGCATGTAGCTGGATAAAACTGGTCATTGAAGAAGAATAACATGCTTGGAAGGGTCAAGGGACAGTGCCGGAGAGGAAGACCCTGGACCAGATGGATTTACACAATAACTGGGGTAATGAGGGTAGGTGAGTCAGAGACAATAAGTCGGTTCAGGATAGTGGAGGGTTCAGAGCTGCTGTGCGTAGGGTTGCTAGGCGTCACAGTCTACTTGATGACACATAACAACAACAACAACAACTCTGTAATGATTGTGGGGGAAAGAAGGAATATTTTATCCTACAAAAGCAATAGGATCTCTTGGCAATACAAATGGTCAACAAATGGGGCTGCTGAGAAATGTTGGTTGGTCATGAAACTGCCTTGTGTTGGAATTGACTCAACAGAATGTTATGTATGTGATTTCCCCCTTGCAGTTGTCAAAATGTCATATCTGAGGTGAATTTGCATTATAATTTTTGTACGTTTTATTGCAGTCCTCGTACTCTTTGGCATCCAGAACACTGAATGGGATCCATGGCCAGCACAAATAACGTGACTGAGTTAATTCTCACGGGCCTTTTCCAGGATCCAGAGGTTCAGAGAGTGTGCTTCGTGGTGTTTCTTCCTGTGTACCTGGCCACGGTGGTGGGCAACGGCCTCATCATGGTGACGGTCAGTGCCAGCAAGAGCCTGCGGTCCCCCATGTACTTCTTCCTTAGCTACCTGTCCCTGGTGGAGATCAGTTACTCTTCCACCGTGGTCCCTAAATTTATCGCCGACTTACTCACCAAGATAAAAACCATCTCCTTGGAAGGCTGCCTGGCTCAGATCTTCTTCTTCCATTTGCTCGGTGTGACAGAGATTCTCTTGCTCACAGTTATGGCTTATGACCGCTATGTGGCCATCTGCAAACCCCTGCACTACATGACCATAATGAGCCAAGCTGTATGTTACCTTCTGGTGGCTGGTTCCTGGCTGGGGGGACTAATTCATTCCATGGTTCAGATCTTTGTCACTGTCCAGTTGCCTTTCTGTGGTCCCAATATAATTGACCACTATTTCTGTGATCTTCACCCTTTATTCAAAATTGCCTGCTCTGACACCTTTATGGAAGGTGTTATTGTGTTGGCTAACAGTGGCCTAATCTCTGTCATTTCTTTCCTCCTCTTGGTATCCTCTTATATTGTCATCTTAGTCCACTTGAGGAACCATTCTGCAGAGGGACGACGCAAAGCTCTGTCCACCTGTGCCTCCCACATCACAGTGGTCGTCTTGTTCTTTGGACCTGCCATCTTCCTCTACATGAGACCCTCTTCCACATTCACTGAGGATAAATTAGTGGCTCTTTTCTACACTGTCATCACTCCCATGCTGAACCCCATCATCTACACACTCAGAAACACAGAGGTGAAAAATGCCATGAGAAGGCTCTGGAAAAAGAACGTGAACTCAGGAGTGGAATAAAAATGAAATAGTGAAAAAAAATTAAACAGATCTAAACACTAACAAATGAACAAGGTGCACAAATACATGATTTTAGGTCAATCATGAAAAAGAAAAAAAAATTAATTGAATTTTTTTTTCTGCTTGTTGCATATTAGCTGAGTTGCTTTAATTCCATGATACTAGTCAGAGTCTTCTCATAGCTGTCATCATTTTGGAGAATGTTGACATTGAGCTGCTTTCTTATTCTTCTAGAGTCTACATGGAAGAGTGAATGGGTTTTTAGAGAGAGATCACCTAGACTAGAATCTCCATACTATTGTCTACTTATTGTGTAGTATTGTACTCATCTAGTTCACCTCTTGGTCTTAGCATGCTGCGCTATGTGGTGATATTGAAGTTCATATTTTCCATTGTTTCTCCTTACTAATAGGGTATTGAGGGAGTCCTGAAAAGGCCTCTCCACATCATTTGGTGTTCCTCACTCATGAACCTGATTCCAATGCCTGAAACTTCACAGTAAAAACTGTGCTTCAGACAAGAGGAGCATTGTTAATTGAAAATGTTCCTGGGAGGCAAAACACAATAAAACTATTATTAAACATTAATATGTCAATCTCAGTAATTTTATAAAAAACCTTGCTATGCAAACAGATAAAGAGAACAATGCAGTTAGAAATACATTGTTGTTGTTGTTACTTGCTGATGAAGAACTGCTAGAAGTTCAGAGTGGGCTTAGAAGAGGCCGTAGCACCAGGGATATCATTGCTGATGTGAGATGGATTCCGGATGAAAGCAGAGAACACCAGAAGAATGTCTATGTATGCTTTATTGATTACACAAAGGTATTTGATGGAATAGATCATAACAGCTTATGGCTAATGTTTAGAAGAATGGGAATTGCAGAACATTTAATTATATTTATATGGAACCTATACTTAGAGATACATTGAGTTATAGATAATAGAACTTGATGAAAAATGGCTTAAGTCAAGTCTAGCTTGTCCCCTGTTTTTTCATAACCTGTAAGCTAATCTTGACTTTTACACTTTAAAGTGCTTCAAAATTTTTTCAAATGTATAATATTTTGTTATATATTAAGTTAGAGTTAAATATAATTTTCAGTACTCAGAAATAAAGTTTATACAGCTACAGCTATGTCTATTATTTTATTATGTTATATATGGCTATTTTAATGTTATAGTTTCTGACTTTTATAACTGACAGAAATTGCATTGCCATATAATAAAAATATTTACAACCTAATATTTTATAGAAAATATTTGGTGACTCATGACTTAATCTATAATGGCATTTACAGTTTACTCAACAAAGATTAGATGTCAGTGGTTCTAGGATTGGCTTGTTAATCTATGATGCCAATGCACAGGGTGGGAATCTTCAATCTCTTCTCTCATGAGTGCAAGATGGCTATAGAAGCTCTTTACATGAAGAGATTGAAGATATCTCTTTGTACATTCAGAAACATGTCCCAGAAACTATTCAGATAATTTTCTCTTACTGGCTAGAAACAGGTGCGTCTGATATAGGCCATGGTCTTCACAATCACTTGTTATGCATCAGAGAGTTGGACAATGACCAAGGAGGATAGAAGGAGAAATGATGCCTTTGAGCTGTGGTGCTGGAGAAGAATATTGAGAGTACCATGGACTGCTAGGAAAACAAACAGATTTGTCCTGGAAAGGGTTAAACCGGGTGGCTCCTTGAAGGCAAGGATTCTGAGGCTCCATCTAACATACTTTGGACATGTTGTGAGGAGAGACCGGTCCTTGGAAAAGGACATCATGCTTGGGAGGGTGAAGGGACAGCGCAGAAGGAGAAGGCCCTCTATGAGGTGGATTGATTCAGTGACCGGGGTAATCGGGATGGCTGTATCGGAGATGGTGCGATTGGCACAGGACAGAGCAGAGTTTAGGGCTGTTCTACAAAGGGTTGCTAAGAGTTGCAAGTGACTCGACAGAACATAACAACAACAACAACAACAACAACAACACTCTTAGATGCAAAGAAGTCTAAGAAAATGAGTATTGGCAAAGGAGAATAGGATTAAATTATAGGTTTAGGCCAATATTGTAGATTGAATTGTGTTCCTGAAAAAGCTCTGTTGAAGTACCAATCTCTGTACCAATGAAGTAACTTTTCTTGAGGAAATGTAGATCTTCTTTGTGGATGTTATCAATTAAGCAAAGAGAGTAGGTCTTAATCCCAATACCTTTTGAGTGGCTGTAGTGTAGCAAATCTTTTGTTATGGCTTTGAGTTGCTTAAAATAGCTCTCTTAGACCATTTTTTAAAAATAATTAAAAAAAATTTTTTTGTGTGTGTATCATCAAATCAGATCTGACCAGTACAGGAGGAGATTATTCCTCCTTCTCCAGCAGAGCATTTGGTTTATTCGAACTGCTCACCTCTGGGATTGCAGTGCAGCTTCTTGCCACTAGGCCACCACAGCTTGCCTCCTAGACCATGTTTAACCAACCTGCCTCAAATCTGTCTCGCCTACAAGCGCACACAGTAACCTGATCCAGAAGCCCATCCACATCATCAACAGCTGTATGAGCCATTTCTTTCTCATAGGGTGGGTTAGCCTATCCACCATGGGATTTAGTCTCACCACTAAATTGAACAGATTTAGTGACAGAAACTGGGAACCTCAATACTAGATGAGAAGACAAAAGAGAGAATGCAGTACACATCCATCAGGGGTCACAATTTTCTGCACCAGAGGTGTCTTGCTGTGGACTAAGAAGCTTCCTGGATTAATTGAGAGACTGTATCTTGTTGTTGATGGAAAGAACTGGAGCTAAAGCTGGGGCCCTCGAGGCAGAGACAGGACTGAAACCTCTGAGACAGTGACAGGGCCAGAGCCCTGGAAATGGAGACAGAGTTAAAGGTTTTACTTGTTGGATGATTGAAGGAAAAGCTGACTAGGTATTGCTGCCTCATAGAACCAGTAACAGAAGTTTCTAAGCTAAGATTGCTGGAGGACTGAGAGAAGATACCATAACTGTTAATAAATAGGACTACTGCTTCATGAAACCAACAACAGAGTTCTTTAACTCAAACTTGCTGGAGGACTTATAGAAGATACCATAACTGGTAGGATTAAAGGAACTTTGTAAGCTGGGAAGCTGAAGGTCAAAATGTCTGTGACCATGCTTGAGAAGCGATCAGAACTGAGGGATTGTGTCTCACTGCTAACCTGGAGTATAGCTTGTTAGCTTCCCTAATAAACCTTATAATCGTGAATGCAGAACAATTGAGCTTGGTGTTGGAATTAGTATAAGTAGGTACAGGAGTGTGTGGGACCAGATCTGACCTTATAGGGATCAGTTATATACTATGGATATTGTTGATGGGGCCAGTTCCCCTTTGTGAAGTTAGTAGAAATCAGACTTGGTCATCTTGTCTGATTTTACATCTTTAGCATTTTATTAAAGAGAAGAATAGGCATAGTAACTTACATTACACATAGGAGGAAGACAGCACAAGATATGTCTATAAACCAGAAAAGGCAAGAAACACATCTTTCTTAATTTTAAACCATGTTGTTCCCTTAGGGAACTCTGGAGGCCCACAGGCAAGAAGCTGTGCTGCAATCCGAAAGGGACATGGTTTGAGGCTACCGAATGCTTGGCTGGAGAAGATGGGCTGTCTCCTCCGGTGCTATTGGAAACCCGCTGGAGGGTCACCTATAGGTCTGTTCTGACTCTATGGTTGTTGTTGTTGTTGTTATGTGTCGTCGAGTCACTTGCGACTCATAGTGACCCTATGTACAACAGCCCTAAACCCTGCTCTATCCTGTGCCAATCTCACTGCCTCTGACACATCCATCCCGATTACCCCAGTCACTGAATCAATCCACCTCACAGAGGGTCTTTCCCTCCTGCGCTGTCCCTCCACTCTGCCCAGCATGATGTCCCTCTCCAAAGACCTGTCTCTCCTTACAACATGTCCAAAGTATGTCAGACGAAGCCCCAGAATCCTTGCCTCCAAGGAGCAGCCTGGTTTAACCCTCTATAGGGTGAATCTATTTGTTTTCTTGGCAGTCCATGGTACACTTAGTACTCTTCTCCGGCACCACAGCTCAAAGGCGTCAATTCTCCTTCTATCCTCCCTAGTCATTGTCCAACTCTCTAATGCGTGACAAGTGATTGCAAAAACCATGGCCTGTATCAGGCGCACCTTAGTCTCCAGAGAGACACCGTTGCTCTTGAGTACTTTAGAGAGGTCCCTAACAGCAGACTTTCCCATTGCAAGAGTGTTCTCTTGCACTATTTACACAACAGCCTCTCAGTGAACGTTTCACATGTGCACAATTAAGTGTCTTGGATTTTTATTCTTCTCAATGTCAGTCATAATTTGGTATGACCCACACAATCAAATGCCTTTGCATAGTCAGTAAAGCATAAATACACATTATTCTGGTATCCTTTACTTTCAGCCAAGAGCCATCTGACATTGGCAATGATATCCCAGGTGCAACAGCCTCTTCTAAATCTTGTTTGAACTTCTAGCAGTTCTTTGTCTATATATTGTTCTAGCCATTTTTTAATGTTAGTCAGTATTATTTTACTTACTTGCAATATTAATGATATTCTTCAACATTTTTTTTTCTATAATTATATTTTATTAATTTTCATAAACATTTACAGAGATTTTGGGCTTGCACTCATTCATTGTTGCACTATTCTCTCTACCCTCCTCCCAGTTTGTTCTTGTCCAAATGCCACAGGATATTCTTCAACATATTAATGATATTGTAGAACATGTAGTTGAATTTTGTGAAGAAGAATGTGGTATTAGGATTGGACTCATCCACAACTTGTGTTATACAGATGACACAATCTTGTTTGCTGAAAATGAGGAGGGCTTGAAATGTTTGCTGCAGAAGATCAAATACTACAGCCTTTAATATGGATTATATCTCAACATCAGGGGGAAGAAAATCCTCACAACTGGGTCAAAGGCAACATCATAATAGGTGAAGAAAAGACTGAAA